TTACTGTATATTTGAGGGAGTTTGTCCATCTGTCCATCTACTTGTGTGTTTGTCTGTTTTGCTCAATTATATGGTAAGAGCTAGGACCATAAAATTCAGTATCTGTTTTGCTCTTATATGGTAAGAGCTAGGACCATAAAATTCAGTATGCAGCTTCCTCTTATCATAACTTAAAGTAAGGGTAAGGGTTCAGTTGTGCCAGCAGAATTGGATGTGCCTTGAATGGGATTGCTTCTAAAAACCATACAGAAAAGAGACACAATCACCAGGCAGGTGAAAGGGGCTGGCTCAGGACATGCCTTCTGGCCTCAGACTGCCCCAGACCTGATCCTCCTAGCCCCCAGGCTGTTCGTCTGTTAGGGAGCGAAGGGAAAGTCCAAAGTTTGCTGCATTTTTGTCATTCTGGCTTGGGAGTGTAGGGGCAGACAACCTGGACCTTCCCTAGCCAGGGGATGTACACCCTTCCTTTGGCTGTACCTGCTAGAGCTGCCATGGCTATAGAGAGGCACTTCTCATATGGCCTCAGGTTTCTGTGGTGAGAGAGGCCTGGGGTAGTCCTCTCTCCCTTGGGCAATCTGCATACTGAATCTATCATCCCCATCCCCACCCCAGAGCAATGATTTAAATGAAGCATGTCCATCTTAATTTTAGATTTTTAGAAAATAAAATGAAGTAAAGGACCCAAGCAACTCTGGGTAAATATTCTAGTTAATCTATATTTAAATGTGTTTGCTCAAGAACCATTATGTAAATTAAGTAGTGGTCAGGAAAGAGAGTCAGTAGTCAAATTGAGCTGGCTTGTGGTGTTTCGGTAAGATGTTACATTTGGGGCGATTCCAGAATATAAACTTTAATTTCAAAATAACTAACTATTTATGATCGTGAACAAGTGCAAGGATTTTTTTTTTTTTTAGCCTGGACACAACCTGATATAGAGGTCAGAGGTGTGAACTGCCCCAATTCCTCTCCATATGTGTTAATTCTGGAACATAACAATTTGAATATAAATTCTGTTAATGTTCATTGATGCAAATATGCAAGGAAATATGGCATCAGCTGACAATTATTCCTTCATATGAAGTATAAAGAGGAATGACCATATGAATATCTGCATAACCCATTGAAAATGTCATCTTGTTTTGGAATCTCAAGCATAGGCTTGTTTCGTTAGGAGAGCTTTGGAAAGTAACAATACTTTGTTTTCTCTGGATTAAAATCCCTAAAATTAATTCAGCCTAATATTTTTAAATATGGGAATCTGTCTAAAATGGCAAAAGTAGTAATTAGAGATCAATAGTAGTTGGAAATATGGAATTTAGTAGTAAAATCATTTGTGTTTTGGGTATGCTGAAATATTAAAAGGATACATTAAGAGTAAATTTGGCCTCAAATTCAGGTTTTGAAACTCGAATAGTAATGTTTCTAGTTATCTCTCCCAGCACTATTTGTATTGCACGTTGCATTAATAAATTAAAACCAGAAAGTGAGAACAATTTATATCATATATATGTAGTACAAGATATAAAGAAAGCAAATGATTCAACAGAATAAGGGTGAAATACAAAACCTTAACTTTGTTCAGTTTTAATTGGAGTATTTTTTACAACTAAGTTTTAACATGAGTGCCTATAGACTATAGCTAAAATACAATCAGTTGTCTCTTTAGACAAAGGCTCCTACCCACTATTCATGGACACAGATTCTATAAAGGCTTTTATAAAAACCCTGTTGTTATAGACATTCCTCGTGACAAAGAGAAAACATTCCATCCTTATAAATCTATTGTTTTGGTTGGGTGTATCATACTGATATGTAGGTTAATGTGAGCATTTGAGCCTGTGAAAGATAATGATAAATTCATATATGTGTTGCAGATTTTTTTTGAGGTATAGCAAAACATAAGTTTATTTAATTTCAGTATTTGTGATTTACCACTTTGTATTTGAGAAGCTTGGGTCAGAACTCAGTACATGTGAGATGTAGCTGACTTTAAGTCTGTTTAAGGTTCTTCTGGTTTACCTCATGTTTTACTTTATATATTTTTAAATCTTTTTTTTTAAGTTACAACTTCAAAATGTTTGTCTCAGCCCCCCATACTTTATGGAAATTGGCTTATGAGTGTGAATCTGCATAAGATGCTTGATGCAAAACAGATGATATGACATCATTTAAAAGGTTGTTGTCCCCTGAATCTCTAAATTCTATTTGTGCATATATCATTCTTGTATGTGAAGTTAGAAATATGAAGTGTAGATATGTTTATAATTCTAAATGTGCTAATGAGGGCCTTTACTGATACTCCTGAAACTTAGGGCTTGTCTAGACTGCCCGTGGCTTTCGAAAGAAGATATGCAAATTTGTGCTGATTTTGCATATCTTCTTCCAATCCCATTTTCGGCAGAGTGTTTTTGGGAAAAAAAGCAGTCTAGATGCAGTTCTTTCGGGGGAAAAAAACTTTTTCGAAAGAACTGCTTATAGCCTGCTTTTAAAAAAAAACTCTTCTGAAAATGGGATTGGAAGAAGATATGCAAAATCGGCACAAATTTGCATATCTTCTTTTGAAAGTCACGGGCAGTCTAGACGTGCCCTTAATGACTCAGTACTCAAACCAATGACCTGTGAACAGTCTTGTGTGTTCTCTAAGACCAAACTGTGGTTGGTCCCAGAACACGTGATGCTGAAACCCATTTTGGATCTTATACTTTTTCACACGAAGTGAGAAAAATTTGAACTGAGCACAAAGAATTTCTGCCTTGGGCTAAAAGGATATGGAGGTGGGATCCACACAATAGAGGCTATTGTCAGATGCCAGGAGAGTCCTTCCCCTTACAACTGGAAACATCTAAGACTAAACAGGAGGAAGGAGCCAAACTAGGAGGCTGCTTAGCTTGTGAAAGTGATGTTTAGAGCAACTATTTAGAGTAAGGCTCTAAATTTAAACAAGTTTGTTAGTGGATTAGGATTATCTGGTGTTTTTTGTTTATTTTAATTTAGTAATTTACTTTAGTCTGACTGTTTTCACTTGCAACCACTTAAATTCTCCTTTTTGTACTTAATAAATACACTTTTGTTTATTATTAAGCCCCATGTAAATAATTGTTACATGGTGAAGAGGAAGCAACCGCTATGCATACCTATCTTTTATTGATAAAGAGGGAGAATTTATAAACTTTCTCCATGTAAAACTTTTACACAGAATAAGACAGATTTATTTGGGGTTTTGGTTCCTTTTGCAGATGGTTTTCTGGGTGTTTAGGCCTGATAGCTGAGCCTTCCTGGAGCAGAACTGGTTCAGTGTCTTTGTTGCTCTACAGGGGGGTGATTATTCCAACTCTGTGTATTGGCTGGGGGACACCAGAGGATCTGGCTCAGCAGGCAAGGGTGGTGGGGAATTCCAGAGGGCAGGAAGGCATGTGTCAGTGGCATGATCAGCACACTGGGGGACAACCCCAAGGGGATTTCTGTAATCTAACCTGTCAGAATGTTGAGTGTAACTTCTTTTTTGAAAATCTAGCAAACTTGTTTTCCCTGCCCAAATTCTTTGATACTTACCTGGCTTTCCATGCTGTTTCAGTTTTTCCACACATTCATTCTCTGACTTTGCTCTAGTTGAAGTGAATGGGTTTTAGATTTAAAATATTACAATGTCTTAGAACCACACAGTTATGTCTTTTCACCTGCCTCAAGTGTTATTTTTTGTGGCCAGTTGCTCTTATATTAAAAATTTAAAAATAGAGGCTTTTCAATTCTGGAGCTAAGAAAAAGGGAAAGAAGGACCCTTTCATGATGGTACGGAGACCAGAGGCTTTGGCTTTCTTTCTGTATATTCTTACAAATAGGTATGTTTGTATTAATGCATTAAAAAAACCCTGCAACATCCATACTCTACTCCTATTACCTGGATAAAGTGGAAATGGGGTCCATAAAGGTTGCTTTGAGTAATATGTTTTGTTGCATGTGTCTTCCTAAAACCGGATGAGGCTTTTGAGAGCAGACAGGCAGCAGGTTGTGTCCATGGTACAGAGGTAGGGCCCCACGGGGGCTGAAGCTTGGCCTGCCCTTCCTGACCTCGACTCAATTTCTGTCTGCTGGGCTGGTCATGTGTCTTTCCTGCCAGCGTTGCACTGCTTCTGCCCTGTTCTTTAACCCCAGCGCTAGCCCTTCTCAGACCCACCCCAGGAGGCATAACCCCCATTCTGGAATGACTTACTGCCTTCCAGCCTGTGGATTTGGTGGACTCTGGCCATGATGGGCCTGGTGTATGGGCCTGATGTTAAGCGGGTGTGGCACAGCCCATCCAGACGCCCCCATGGCTGCACACCTGGCGAAAAAGCCATACAATAAGAATCAAAATTGATATTTCTGACACTTTAAGTTTTATAATTTCCCACAAACTAGAGATTCAAAGTTGTGACTTGTTCTTGGTTCATCGTATGTTAATATACTTTTCTTCCAAAGCTTCTGTGATACCACAGTAATGACATCCACCAGTCCACCTAAACAGCTGTTAAAAAGCTTACCAATTCTGCATTTCTGATTATTGGTTTTTAAGAGCTGGATAGCTAAGTTAGAGATAATAGTCTTTTAAGGACTTTCTCCTAATCATTTTCATAATGTCAGTATTGAAAATGTAGCATGAAAACTACGGTCATTTATAACTTTAAATAAGAAATGATGTGGTCCTAATGATTAGTCTGAATTTATGCAAATACATAAGCATATGAGCAAATTTGTAATCTGCTTTTTTTGTTCAAGGATGTGCTGGTATGTGAATACATTATTTGTTCTGCTGTTTTCTGATTTGTTGTGTGAAATGACTGTCTTGTTGACACGTGAACTGAATAGAAGCCCTAAATCACAAAGCAATTATTATTCTATACAGTATTTCATGATTTTAAAGTTGATATTTGACTAACTGTACCAATTCAATAACTGGGCCAATTCAATAATCGCTTAACTAATTAGCATATTATATTGTTTTGTTTTCTCTTTTAATTTAGTATGCCACTGTTGAGAAAGATGAAGAGCATTACATGACACCAGGAGATTTTGTGCGGAGATATCTAGGACTGTACACCGACCCACAATATAATCCTAAAACAGTGGAATTATTGGCCGGAGTAGCAGATCAAACAAAAGATGGGTGAGAACTTTGCTTTCCATTAAAGTCTTTATTTGGGAAATAATTTAGTATTTCTTCTGGTTAATTTATTGCCTTCTAAATAGTATCTTAGTATTTTTGTTGCACTGTTCGCATTTATTTGTTTACCTAACAAATGAGATTTTCTCAAGCACAGTAAATAATTTGTTTCAGATTCGTGAGAATATAAAGTGTAACAAAGTGCAGATATAAGGTGCTTTAACTGACGTGTTAACATAGTATTTGTTAGTATAGGGGTTTAGCCATAGGCCATTTTGGATGCTTGACAGAATATCTACATTTGAGATTAAATTAAGTACATCCCTTTTTTTCATGATTGCCATGGAGAAGTTCATCCTCAGTTTATTCAGTTCCATGATAAATAATTGTAAAATATCCATAATTAAACATGGCTTGGAAAAATAGAAAAGAGGTCATGCATCTCTCTTGTGTAGTCTTTCTAATACCCCACTGCCAGCATTCACATACAGAGCACACTACTGAGAACCTCTTAAAAATGCTGATAGGAAGAAAAATATTTATCTAATCAAGATAAGGTTATACTGCACAAAGGTTTTTAATAATTGCATATGGTCAGTAGTTTTTGTTTTTAAATTGCTCTCTGAAACTATTTCACAAAGCACACGCAGTCTTCTAAGATATGTTACTTTTTAACCTGCTCTGCTCTAAAGCAGCCTTGCCTGCTTTCTCTTCTCCATTGCTGCATGTAGGCTTCTAGGTTTGGCATTGTATTGTAGCAAGAATAGATGTTGTTAAAGTGGAGCCAAGAGGTTAAGAAGCATCTGAGCAGAGGTCAAAAATACCATCAGAGAGGAGTGGGCGTTTTGTAGAGAAAAGATGGAAGACTGCTATTAAAATAGAATACAATCTATTTTTTATAGATAAATTTCATTTATTTGAAATTGAAAGCCTCTCATTTTCGTTGGTTGTGTAAGTGTAAATCTGACCCTGGATGGTACTTAGATGTTTTTTGTTTTCCTTTATTGTAGTATTTTAGAATATATTAATATATTGCAAGGACCCTGATCAAAAAGGGTTAGCATCTGCACTTTATAAATAAAATTATCATTCTGTGCAATGCATATAATTTGTGTTAAATGGAGAAAGAATTTACTCTTTGTTATTTAGTTACATAATGTTTGTTAAATAAGGTTGCAACATTTCTCCTTGGACTTCTAGGAGGTATTTGATAACCTAAAGCAGTTACATTACTGATCTGACATTTGGATTTAATGGAATGTATCACCACCAATATGACTGATGATAGGTATTTTTTGAAATCATGCACTATAATAGGCTATTTGATGATCAGTAAGCAAGCAAATCTGTTATATTTTTCTTTCTGCTAGAGTGGTTGGTCATCTTTTAGAAGTGTGTTCATTTGAAGATAGGGAGCTATGGCCTGCGGTGGAGAGGTGGGGCCTACCGAAGTAAGGGCTGCTCCAAGCAGCACCTGCCTCCAGTGTGCCCCAGGGGCTGGAGTATCCCTATATCCACAGAGGGAGGGGAGCAGCTTCAGTCCCTATTGGTTAACTGGAACCAGTAAGCCTCACCTATTGCAGGTGAGGCTCACCTGTTAACCAGTTATATCCCTCTTTGAAGTGTGGTTTTATAAACACTTTTTGTATAGTTAGGAATCAAGAGTGTCTTAATTTTTATAGAGATCCTCAGACTGAGAAATTATTTTTTTTCCCTTCTGCTTTCTATTTTGTGCATACCTTTTGTGTGGACAGTCTTGTATAGCAGGGGTTCCCAAACTTTTTCACACGGGGACCAGTAAATCCATTCATGAGCTTTTGGAGGACCTGTAACATTCATTTGCACATTTTCATATTAATTTCATATTAAGTTGTTTCTGGTCCTCCCAAAGCCTCCAGTGCCAGCGTTAGCAAAGCTTTTGATACAATCACCCACAATATTCTTGCCAGCAAGTTAAGGGAATATGGATTGGATAAATGGACTGTAAGATGGCTGACTAGATCAGGGTTTCCCAAAACCATTTACTTTAGTTGGAACCCGTTTTTTTTTCAGTACCGTTTTTTGCAGCCCAAAAATATAAACACGTATAAAAAAAGAATGGAAAAATGAATAAATTTTCAGTGTTTCACCCGACTGCATCCTCTGCCCAGCCTGGGCCAGGACTTGGGGGACCCGGTGCCACATGGGCACTCCAGGAGGTGGGAGCAGAAGCAGATTGGGAGTACGGTATCTGGCTAGGAGGGTGTCAGCCGACGGTCAGAGCAGTGTGTGTGTGTATGTTTCCGAGAAAAGGTTTAACGTCCGTGTCTTTACTGCTAGGACCGGGGTCCCATCGCAGAGGGTGGCCAGCAGGCCAACAGACGCCCCGAGTTTATAGGAAGAGCTTATTACGCTTCAGATTTTAGCTGCTAGAATTTCATAATTCCTTCGCAGCGGGCAGCCTCGGGGAGACTGAGAAGCGCCCCAACTGAATTTTGCCACCTGGGTGTGACACAAATCCAAACGCCCAAGCTCTCCCTATGTCTGTCCCTTTATGACCGGCTGAAGTTCTTTTAAATTGTGCTTGGTTCTGTTACAGCAACTGAAGGAGTCAGGTTAAAGCTTAAACAGTTACAGGTTTATTTGAGGAAGCTTATAAATCATATGGTTGCAATGGCTATTGTTCTATTTCTTAACTATTAGCAAAATATAGATCTTAAAAATGGTTACAAAGAAGATAAAGATAGAAAAATAGAAATAATGGTACCAAGTAACAGCTTACTCTTTCTATGTGTACACTTAAGACAGAGGACCACATCCAGGTACCATTTTTACCCCCTTCTGTGCCTCTCGACTCCAGCATGTCAGGCCAGGGCCGGTCCCTCAATTCCTAGGAAAGACGAAAATACGAGGTGGGCGTCCCCATAGAACCTCGGGAGGTCAAACACCTAACCCGACCAGCAGGTAGAGGGTAGAATGACACTCAAAGTGAGTGTGTGCTGGGCCCATCTTTTATAATCATGAGGTCACGTATTTCTCTTTCTTATCTGTCATGCCAAATGGGGCTGGTTTGTCTTTTGTGAGACCAGTTCTTACAAGGGAGTTGTGAACTTAATTTACACTTGTAAGAGAGAATTGAGATGATTAAATTTTGAAGTACTGGACATTGTTTTCTCAGTGGGAAATTCCTCTCAGGTACTGTGTGTGTGTTCGAATCAACATAGGTGCCAGCCGGTGGCAGTCTCGCATATCCTGATCTCTCCTCATATCTATGTTTCAGCTTCTCAGGATCAGATGAGCC